TTCTTTCTTTCTTTCTTTCTTTCTTTCTTTCTTTCTTTCTTTCTTTCTTCTTTTATTTATTTTTAGCTCTCAATTATGAGTGAGGACATGCAGTATTTTTCTTTCTGCGCCTGGTTTATTTCACTTATAATTTTCTCTAAGTTCATCCACACTGCTGCAAATGGTAGAATTTCATTCCTTTTTATGGCAGAGTAGTATTCTATTGAGTAGATATACCACATTTTCCTTATCCAGTCATCTGTTGATGGACATTTAGGTTGGTTCCAACTCTGGGCTACTGTAGATAGGGCTGTGATAAACATGTATTGGCCCCAATTTTTCACACCACTTTGGGGTTGGCTATGTGACATACTCTGAAATAGTGTACTAACTTCCAAACCAAGCTTTAAGAGAACTCGCGTGGTTCCACTTGCCCTCTAGTGAACCCTAAGAAGAGCTTTCCTTCCCTAGCTGCTGTCCCACAAACCTGAGCCTGAGAATAAACACATGTGAAACAGAGCCACCCCATCCAAGCCCAGCCAGGCCTGCAGGTCTGTGAAAACCAATTGCTGTTTTAAGCCACTGAGTTTAGGATGGTTTATTATACAGTATGTTTTCACAATAGTTAACTGATGAGCCTACACTTGGAATTTCTCTAGTTTTCTTAGTTTGTACCCTGAGTTCTCTTACAGGGCACAAAAATTCAGGTTGTTCATTTGATCTAAACAAGCATGGGAAGCTGTCAGGGGCAGACCAGAGGCATCCCTGCTGAAGTGTATAGCCAGTACTGTTCCAGACACACAGAAGTCGGTCAGAACTAGAACTGGTTTGAGGACTTTGCTGCTGTATTATCCATCCCTGATATGTGTCTTGGGTTAGACTCTGTCTCAGCACAGACTCAATGCCATCGTGTCAGCGGCTCCAGCTGTTCATACAGAAGCAGGCTGACTGCCCACACATCTGCATTTCCAGGTGCCTCTGCTTACACCAGTTTCCTCTGTCTTTGATTGTTCTTATAAAGAGCTGTCTGCCCCAAAGTTGGTTTATCCCAGGAGATGCTTGGAAAATGCCTGGAGTCCTTGGGCAAACAGGGACATCTGCTTAGCCTCAACTTGACCCCTTCCCACCCATACCTCCGTGATTATATAAGCCTACACCAGAAAGCTCCACTCCAGAATTCCTATTGCCTACCCCTTTTGGCCAAGTGACCTGGAAACATAAGAATTTGTCCACCTCTTGAGCCAATTACATTCAGTCTGTTCTAGGAATCCAGAGATCTTACTACCTTCCTGTTATTTCCCCTTCTGCTTTGTCCTATAAAGAGAAGAAAAATGTACCCACTCTCAGGCTAAGTTCTACATTCTCTCCTCCATAGGTCAACATCCCACCATCCAGAGACCCGATCTCTCCCAAGAAGATCCTGTTGGCAGCCAGGATGCCCATGATGGAAGGACTCCTGTAGAGAACACAACAAGAGAGTTACTAATCCCTCAGTAAGGAACAGGTTAGAGTGAAGGTGAGGGGTGGGAAGCCCACTGATGCTGTGGCCTAAGTCTCTGCTTATCCTAAAGGCCTTCCCTATACCCTTAGGCTGGGCTAAGTGTGTGTAGCTTTCCCTTGCCTACTGTGCTGTCATAACCCTTCTCAAACTATAATGAAATTACATCTTTTTAATCTTGGTGTCCCTACTTCACAGCCTGATAATGCTTGTAATGGCCCAAATGTTTTTTTAAAGCATTAAATATTTTGCTTGATTTTTGCTTGAAAGCCCCTAAAAAGCCCAAAGTGTCTGTGATTTACCAGGAAGCAACTCACTGGGTTTTTTCCTTCTATCCCTTATTTTTCGCCCCATCCCCTCCACTCCTCCCACCTCACCGCTATTACCACCACCAAAGGTAAACAAAACCCACCCAGCTCTCTCCTGCCTTCCCATGTGCTCCTCAAGTTCCCTGAGCCCACTCAGACTTACTTTACTGGAGCAGTGACATCACGCAGATCAACCCAGGCTTTTGGCAATGAATCGTAGCGACACCATAGTTCCCAGTTAAATCCATCAACTGCCAGTTCATACTTATTTAGTTTGA